AGACACGGAAAAAATGGAGATAGAACCTCCGTCTTAAAAATAAAATGATCGCGAATTGTCAGCTGCAAGTCACATGCAGTGTCTATGGACTGGGTCAGGAGAACTCCTTGAAGGAACCCGGACTCTTCCATGCCCTCCTCCATATAGGGTTTTAACAGGCAGCCTAGCCACGATTTGACATCGCCCCTTTACAAGCAGCATCTAGTGGTTGGAGAGTCCTGATTTGCGGTGGTATAAGGTGCATTTTCCCTGCCTTAACAAAAAAGTTTATGTGAACTAGGCAGATTATTAATGTTGACAAAATATCTGTCGTTTATTCGCGGCCTCTGTAAGAGTGTTGAACGAATAATTGGACTATTGGTTGATCGTAATGTCCCATAGATAGACGTAGGGACTCTTGTAATATACACTGTCGGAATTACTTCGTCGTCATTGTTATGTCATGAACACGACTTTATTTCTGGGTGAAGCATTTAGAACCCGCTTAATAATACGATATATTTAGGCTATCAGATTTCAATGGAAATGGATACCAATTGTACATAGACACAAAGGGTATTGTTTCAGAACCATGCAATACACGAAAAATTATAAAACGGGCAATATGACAACATTGGTAAACTTCATTATGAATGCATCTATTATGTCGTTAGGAGACAAGTCGATGACGATCTTAAGGAACCGATGAATACCGCCAAGGTACAGTCTGAAAAGGATGGAAACTTGCGGCACTGATTCTGTTCTAAATAAAACCGATTGAGCTTTTCACACTGCTATTTATAATATTCATAAAAATATATATTAAATAGAAACAGATGGTGAAATGACAAGATTATCATAAAGAATCACACACTATCTTCGGCTAGCCTATTCTGCTAATGTTTACGTAACAATCGCAGTTCGCCATTGTACGAGTATCTACCTGATGTCCAATATTTTTGGTGCAATGTCTTCTTTACAAATCAATACTAACAAATATATATATATTGTTCTGATATCTAGTAACAACTCGACACATTTCTGGTTGTAGTAGAAAATACGAGCCTTTCCAAATTTAGATGCCATTTCAAGTAATGCTGAAAACGTTTTATTTTTCTGTGTTTTCAATACCATCGAGTAATGATAACGGAACGCGTCCAATTCGCGTCTAGTTTTGGACAAGGTCTAAGATTTCGAGATCAATGATAAATTTAATTAAAACTCCCAAAGCTAAATATAGGGCAGTTTATTATTTCGATAATATATCGTATAACTACTACTGCCAATTTTGCACCCACTCCCTATATGCTTAATTGTTTTTTGGATTAAGAGCTGAAGAGTATATAAGTAATAAGGATATCTTTTGTAACCTTATCGTGATCGACTTTAGATTTAATTCGATTGATCGATTTATGCAGTTTGACGTATTTGATACCAGGTGTGACTATGATTTTGTTAAATTACAACCTAAATAACCGTTTCAATGTGGGGGAACCTCCGATGATACTTACCAAGATATCAAGAATTTCTATTAAACTTTTCAAAAACTTAATATTCCTTTATTATCACCACAGAGTAGAAATCTAAATTAATTATACCGAAGGTTCCTAAACATTATTAATAAAAAAGAACTGGTTTCGGTGGACCTCTGACTACTACATTTCTACCATGCTCCCAAAACTCGGCAGCATGTGAATGTAAATGTGAAGATTGATCAAGATTAGACAAATGTCAAATCTGAACTGTTTGTCATATAATAATAATAATAATAATAATAATAATAATCTTTATTTCCAGTAACAACAGTTTCCTAAATATACAAGTAGTATAAACTTAATAATATTGACATTATTGAAATCATACGATAATTAAAATAAGTTTTACTCGTATAAGGCATCTGCTGCCAAACTAAGGTGGTTATCACCCTGTCATCTGGCAAGAAATAACGTCTGAAGTTCGTGAAGCATAGAGAACATGTTACCTTATTTACAATTCTTGTGCTCGCATTCGCAGTCTTTACTTACGTAGAAAAACTCTCAGACAAATGGAACTGGATTCCGAAATTTATGTTCGTATAATCTGTACTTAAATTTCACCACCAAACCCGCAAAAGTGGATTCTGTGGGCTTACTTAACAATGGGCAGTCGCATTCTGGAGCTTTCAAGCTGTAATTTTGATGAAACCTTCCTCATGCCATCCCGGAGAACGAGTGACCTCCTTTTATAATCTCCCGATTCAACCCGGAAAATGTACAGACGCCAGTACACTAGGTTAATTTATAATAACAATAGCCTGAACTCCAATTTTAAGCCTTTATCTGATGACAGTTTAACTCGTAATTTTTCATAGTTCGTTCAACTGTCAATGTTTCGAAGCATCATAATAAGATGTTCAGGTTCGGCTACTACCTTTTAATTAGTAACTTCTGTAGGTGAACTTTAGGACGATATTAGTGCAATACTATATGTTTACGGACGATAAAGTTCAGATTTAAAGCACTAAGGGTGCGCTTCTGTCACCCTTGACGAGGCTGCACTGGAGCACATAATGCTGATTAGCCCGGGGTCAGTAAATAGTAAGCGGCATCAGTACTGGCGCCGCACTAACCGCATTGTTTATACGGGATCAATAGACGCGTTCCACGTCTTTAGTTCGATTTACACTAAATCAGCACTGTTCTTTTTGTCAATAAAAAAAATTCCGGACCAAATATAAGATAATAAAATATTCAGCCTGTTCGGAAATATTCGGGTTGACTTAAGTGGACTCAGTCAGTAACTGTCGTCCATGCTGACGCAGGAAATTAACCCCGCTATTTCAACGGGGTTAATCACAAATAAGTAGTCGTAGTAAATTAACGCCTTTACGATTCAAGTTGCATTGGAACAGCACTGACTTACCTCAATTTCGGAGTCATTTACTTAACCCGTATAAATGCGGCTTTACTTGAGTATGAGGTGAACTACTATATTATCTTTGAATCTCAGAAAAGCATATGGGTAGAGTAACTTTTGCATGGATAGAATTGGGTATAGGCTATCTCCATGGGTCTCCACGGGCGGTCCCACTTGATCCGTGGCATTTATCAGATCATCGATCCGCCCACCCACTGAAGGTCGTCCAGGACTTGATTGCAAATTCAGAACCTTTCCGCACTAACAGCCATCAGTTCTTTTAGTTGTGTACGCTCCCACTGCCACTTCAGCTGAGCAATCCTTTAAACAATATCAGTTTTCCTATGTATATCCTTGTTTCTTATTTGATTGCATAGGGAAACACCAAGCATATAAATTGACTAATGCATGCATTGCATAAACTCGGTAATTTGAACATGTATATTTTTTTGTAGTTTCCCAAATTCTATTCACCTACCTCGATTTGCTGAGATGGACTGCAGACAGTTCAGTTTGGACATTTCTAGAGATATATAATGGTTGACAAGTAACAGGTATAGTATAAATATAGTAGTACAATTTAACTGGAGTTGGTACCCCTTAAGACAAACACTTTAAGGTACTCCATAGAAACTTAAACTAATTGGTTAAACAAATAACTTGAAATACCCTGCAAGTAAATTGAATCTTATTTATTTATTGAACAAAGTTTCAACAACAGTTTTGTTATTAAAATAAATCATACATAACAAAACAGATTCCCCAAGTACTATTTTCATTATGATGAGATGAAAATAGTTCTTAGTTCACAATAATCAGGTTTATTTTATAGTGTGGTTATCAGTGTTAGATGAGATATTTCTTTTAGTTATAACATTCAAACAAAAATGGCTGAGTAAGCATTATGTAAAAGGCAGTATTTTGTAATAATAACTCAATTGAAAATATATTGCTAAGTCAATTATTAACTAAAGTCTTAACCTAACATTAAAAAAAAAATGGTATATATAATACCTACAATAATCATAAACACTTTTCACTGTTGCCGATGTCAAAATAGAATATAGAGATTCACATTTTAAATGTAATAGATATATTAAAATACCTAATAATATAATCAAATAAATATTGGAGATCACATACAATTGATATTGATCTAAGATTAAGATGAGTAGCTAAAGCAGTATTATGGATTACCTGAGACTGAAGGTACTACTACACCCAAACCCAAAACAATAAAAAATGTAATCTTCTATGGTGCCCAACCAGGATTTGAATGAATTTTTTTAAATATAAGTTATCAGAGTAATGTTTTATAGATCTATCTTAGAGTTACCATTCAATAATATCTTGTTATTATTCTGTTGGAGCCTTGAAGCTATTCACTTCTGTATGAAATTTATTATTGCCTGTGATTTGCCACCAATGTTATAGTATCTCCTGTAAAGCAATCTTCAAGATTTCTAAAGCTATTTTTTTAATGAACTTAATTATCGTGTCTCTTCATTTAAAACAAATTACTAATTTTTGGTGAAAAAGCTATTTGCTTAAATGTTAAAATCACAGATACTTACATTTTATATAAATAAAATAATATCAATTGCAATATACCAGGAAGATGAGATTGTTGTAGTACTATAATATAAATTAAGTTGAAACCATTCTTCTTCTTATTACCAAGAACTGGAAAATGAACCTCTCTTCTATGGTTTAAACTTATCAATTGTTACCCAATTTATCAGAATTGAAATGTTTTAAAATTAATATAGTATTGAATATGTTGTTTTGTCACAAAAAAAAATAAAACAACCGAGTAAAAAAAATTAAATACTATAACCCACCAACCAAGGCACACAAACAAGAAAGGAAAAATCCCTTTTATACTTCACTTGGTTGGGAATTGAAATAGAAAACATTATTGAGGGGCAAGTACACTACCAACAGGTTAAAAAGTTTCAAGATTTTATTCATAACCAGTTATTTTTACTAGTTAGCGTTACCTAATCAGATCTCCAAAAACGAGGTGAGTTGAATTCAGTAGATTACCGCAGAGAGAAAGGAGCTGTTTTAAATCAACAAAAAATGACCTCTTTGTATTGGGTAAGGTGTGTAGCATACTGGCTTACCTTATCTCCTGGGATATTTTTTGCCGACATGCTGTCACCTTCCTATTCTGTGGTTCAACGTCGTCTTGAGGACGATTTATCCAAAGAAAAGCCCTCGCTGTTGCCTTGACTGGCCAACATACGACACAAAACACTTCACTTCATCAATCACTTGGCCATTATCACTATTAAAACAACGCATCAGAAACATAAACACAACGACCGACCCATCTTTTGGAGCCGTAATCAGCACAATTTCCCATTGAGATTCATCGACACAGATAATTTTTTTACAATACTATACACAAACACAGCGACTGACAGAAGCTAACTTGATTGAGCTCAGCTTTGACGTAAAATGGCGAGGGATGGACTGTGACCCTCCCGCCGCTCACCCCGCGCATGGCATCTCGTTCAAAGCTGCTGCTATTATGGGGGCAGCACATCAGATTAATGCATTGCAATTGCTTTAGTAGAGTTTAAGTTAACTAATAATAGATGGCACTACAAATAGTTATTTGCAGTGCCATCAGACTTATAAGTCTATAATATTTTTCTCAAGTATTATAATTTAAATTAAAAAACAAAGATAAATGAAACAGTCATTCATTTTTAATTTTTGTGTAAATCAATAGTTTTCTTAGTTTAATTTCACATATAATATGTACACTGCCATCTGTCGTCATGTTTCAGAAATTCAAACTCGGAAGTAGCAGTCAGTGGTTGGTATCATTAACTCGGAAATTGTTTTTTACGTATTAGTTGGTGAGCCTGCCTAAGGGTCGTGACATGAAATGAAAGCAAGATTAGTATATTAGCGATTGAAAATTCAATTTCACTTTTGATGTAAAAGTTCAATTTATGGATACTTCTTAGGTTTGGAATTATCCGTATATCAATCCATCCAAATCCGTTCAGTAGTTTTTGCGTGAAATATCCCCAAATTTTCGCATTAATTATATTAATTAAGACAGAATGAATAGTTTTCAAAACTTTGACAGTTCTGATATCATTTAATTTCATGTATAATGATTACAAATATTTGCTTATATTCAAGCAATGGCATTTAATAATTTGAACAGTTTTATTTTCATGGAAATTAAGCAAAAAATAATAATCATACATTTATTTTTAAGTTTGTCGTGACTATAGTTTTTCCCTCTATCCCAAAAATATCACTCTCATATTCTCTTAATAAAAATCTAACAACAATAATAAATTAACTTTTGTTTTTATTAATTAATTTTCAAAAAAATATGATTACGTCTAAAATTTTATATACTATCGCTATTCTAAGGCAACGGCAGGGTGTTGGTCGGACTAGCGCGGGGATATCGAGTAGTAAGTTTAATTCGAACGAGTAGCATACTTACGAATTAACATCGAACATAACACCATAGTGTTATGTTCGTTTTATGTAAATGAAATCTGCACGTGGATATTGAAAGTTTCTCAAAAATCAATCTCAGAGTACTTGAGGGCAGGTGAATTTTGGAGCAATTTTCATGAAGGATATATCCCTTATTACAGCTAATTATAAATAAATAATATGCTCAGATCGTTGCTAGGCTACAGGAAAATAAATAGTAACTAAATATTTTTTTCAAAATGTAAATATAAATAATATAGTACAGTTCTTAAAATTTTCACAAAAAATCTTTAGCGGATGTTTATAATACTACTTCCTCTTCATAATACTCCTCCTCTCACTTCATAATACTACTTGTTACTCTACACGGATTAAGAATACCGATTATAAAAGTACTCGGTATCGTTAAAAGTATGATTAATTACTAGTATATACTCGGATCGTTCATCACTAGAGTAGGGATGAACGATATTAGAAAAATATCGATGTTGACATCGATGTCATCATCGTAAGCCCAACATCAATGTCCGATATTTATCGAAAACTAAACATCGATGTTGGTAAATATGGATGATTTTTTGCAATAATTTACAAAGAAATAAAATACAGCGAATCTTTCGGAATTTATTAAGAAACAGGAAAAATCATTACATATTCCAATATTTTATATCAACTGATTGAAGGAAAACTAATTTTGATAAGAAAGAATCTTTTAATCTATTTCTTTATTGATAAAGAGTAGAGCCAACTTTTCTAAATATGAATGTAAAAATATCTATTTCAAGATATGTATGTATTACATACACAAAAATCCAGTTTTCTTTTTATCAAAATTTCGATGTTTTTGGTAATATCGATTAATTTAAATTGATATTAATATTATCAAATATTAAATAATGCATTGGTGTTGCGTGAGGCCGTGAGTTAACATTGATGATTGATTTTGTTAACATCGATGTTAAGACATTGATTTTTTTGTTTACAACATCGTTGATTATAAAAAACGATCTTTATAGCGCGAGTCTTATAATGCCCTTGGCACAGAAAACACGCTTTGTTTAATAAAATTTTAATAGGGTACCAAAGAGCGCTGAAGTCGATAGATTTATTTTTCACTTCTTTGGAAAATGCAAGCAAAGAAAAATCTATTTATTTGGTTACTCCAGTTTGAAGTACAACCGAAGTTATTTAATGAAAACAGTTGAAGTTGATATATGAGATCATCTAGCTAGTACATCTAGAGCACGTAAGCTGACCCTAAGGATATATTGATATTTTATTCATAAACATCGATGTTTGGCTAGAAAACATCGATGTGCCGATGTTATCGAACTTAAAACATCGATATTTTCTAGCTAAACATCGATGTTTATTAAACATCGACGAATATCGATCATCCCTACTCTAGAGCACGATCAGTATCAATCAGTCGGTCAAGTAAGTGAAAGGTGGACGTACGCGCGTCTTCGTTGCTCTTTGCTTGCTGTTGTGTCGCCTTCTTGCTATTCGCAAAATGGCGGACGGCGGCGTCGATATAGATCTCTACGCAGACGACATTGAATCGGATTTCAATAGACAGGTATGTGTTCTATTATATTTAATTTATGTTGTTCTTGTTGTTCTTGGCCAGTGTCATTTTCATTATTTTTAACTTTTGCGTTGTAATCAAGCGAGTCCGTGCGGCTTTTTTTTAGGACGAATTTGGAGGCGAAAACGTGGATTTATACGACGACGTGATTGCTGCTCCATCGGTGAAGCAAGAGGATGGTGATGGGCCACCAAACTCTTCGGCTCCTCCTCACCAACATCCTCCTGAAGAAACCAACGGCAACGCTCCGTATCATATCAGCGCTCCCAGCCACGGGCATCATGGCCGCCGCTTCCAACTCTACGTCGGCAACCTAACTTGGGTTTGTACTAGATTTTGTTTCATTTAGATAGTAATGTAAATATATAAGCAATGTGTCAATTATTCCCATGCCTTGTTTCTGCCATCTATTTATTGAAATTGATGTTTCTTTACATTACATCTGACACCACTGGTTTTGCTATTTTTGTATGTAATGGTTTTAAATTGTGTCTGTGGTAATATTCTGTATAGTAAGGTTATACAAAAATGTACCTGGTATGAAATAATCCATAAAACTTGTTTAACATAAACAACTGTATGACATATCAAGTAGTTGCATCAATACATATATTATATGACATATATTGAAGGTTTGTTAAGTGGTGCTTTTTATTTTACATGGTGTTTATTATACATACTTGTTAAATTAAAAAAAATTGTAACTGACCGTTGTGTGCGGTGTTAACTATTTATTGTAGGATCAAAGCTTCTGTACACAATATAAATATTTGTCTTTTCTTTACTGACAGATTATTTCTAATATTGATTAAGACTATTATATTTCATCATTGATTTTTGAAATGGTTGAATTAGGTTTTATAGCTTATAATTAAATAAAATAAAAACAAATTTTGGCTTAAATATATTGGAATTTCTGTTAACTTTCCACCAAGCAGGTATTCGTTTTGTTACTATGTATGTTTGATAGACTGTTTCAGGTTTTATTATAACACATGTTTAGAGATTTAAAGACAACAAAATCAGTGCGAATTATGTCCTTTGAAACAGTATATTGTTTAAAAAATCTAAGTATCCACAAAAAATAAAAAAAAAACTACTGTTAATCTAAATTCTTTAAACATAATAATGACAGAAAAATGTTTCATTCATTTAAAAGTAATAATAATAAGTGATTTGTTATTTTTTAGCCATTAAGACATTTTAATACACTCTTCGTATATAATATTCATGTTAAGAGCAAAACTAGCATTATTTATATTAATTGAATTACTCTCATACAAATTATAATATTACATGATCAATGTATGTACTGTTTCTAAGCATTATACAAAACCAGTGCGTGTCAAATGGCATTACTGAAAGAAAGTGAGATGAGGAAATGTGGCTTCATAGAAGCTTATTCAAAATTATGTTTTATTCATACTGTCCAAAAATGCTTAATTTTTTTAATAATATATTTTATTTGGTATTACATTTTGTAATGATAAATGAAAAAAAAAAAAAATTTAAGTCAGTGTGAAAATCTAAGTTGTATATGCTGAAAATTTTAAAAAAAATTCAAATTCCATATCAAAATGGGTCTCTACTCATATTAAATATTTTAATTACTGGTTTCTGAATGATAAAAAATTAATATGACCATTTCAATAAGTCAAATATTGGGTTACATCATGATAAATTTAAGAGGGAAACAATAATTTATGCATGTATGCAAAAGAAACATCTGCTTCAATATTTTTAAGTAGTTATTCTTTTTTAAGATGGGATAGACTGGCTTGATTTTAATTACTCTACAGTAGTGTTTCTTAACCTTTCGGCTGGTAACCTAGAATATACAAATTTGAAGCCCGGCAGCCAGATTAATTTATTTATGTATCAGTGTTTATTAATTTAACTTAAAGTCAGGTTTACATTCAGCATCTTTTCTCACTACCCATTGAACTACTACTTATGAACCAATTTGAGGTGTGCCCAAAGGTTAAGGAGCATCCTATAGCATATTTTACAACAATTTATTACTATCTGATATGGCAAACATTCCTGCTTTATAAAACAACCAAAATTCTATGGACTAATTTTATTGTCCATTGTTTTGATGACCTATCAAAAATGGCAACACAATTTTTTTATACTAAGCCATTTCATATGTGGCTATTATTTGTGTTTCATTTATTTCAAACAACACTTGATGATTTAAAACTACAAAATATAAAAGATGAAAGATAAGATTACTATAATCAAAAATGGGCAAAATATTTTGATCACTTTGATCTGGAAATTAGAATTAACAATATTGATGTCTTCAATCATTTATAAAGGTAACTTCTATATTTTGTGATATCATTATTTACACTAATTTAATAATGACATGTTTACTTCAATCATTAATTAGTGAAACTTAATTTTTATCATTTGCAAAATCTTAATTTATTCTAAAAAGTCAATTTAATAATGACATGTTTACCTAATGACATACATTAGTGATACTTTTAATCTTTACTTCTATTGTTTGTAAAATCTTAATTTACACTGAGACATCAATTCAATAAAGACATAAACATGCCATAAACCTTTCATCATTAGTGAAACTTCATTTTCAGTGATTAGTCTTATTTACATTTTTCCCATTTTTGATAATTGTACAGTAAGCAAAAAAATATTAATGGATGCAATAAGATATGCTATTTGTTATTTAAATGTTACATCTGATTAGTTAAAAATCTACTAATTTTGTAATGCAATGCTATTTTATGGGTGTTTCCTATATTTAGATGATACAAATGAAAAAGCTCAAGATGCATTCCATTATTGAAGGCATTTATGAGGCATATCATTTTTGAAGTGTTTTGCGACTTGAGAATATAGCCTGTGTTTATGTTTTTGTTTTGGTATTACTTTTTTTTTTAATTCTGTTGTAATTGAAATAACAAGCATTGGCTATATTTTACTTAATATTTATTGCTAACTGTACCTGTATGTAAATCATTTAAACTCAAATGTGGTACTAAAATTACTCTTCAATTGGTAATTTACATGTACTTTATCATATAACCATTTGTTATTTTTTTTTCACTGTTCCTAAGTTAATATTTTTAAACAAAGAGATATTTTCAGTTGGGTATATGTATTTAGCAACTTGTTAAAATAAAGCCCTAATTAGTAGTTCGTCATTTAGTAACACAATAAGTTGAGGTTAATTAGTTGTGAAATATTAGAATATGGTTAATAAGTTAATGTCAAAATATCAATATTGTGTGAATGTCCCATTTATCAAGCTATTTCAAATTATTTTATTTAAAATTGGCATATCGATTTCATGCTTTTGTATATTAAACTCTTCAAAGTGATTTAAAAACACTGACCCTGAACTCAATCGGCAGACAATTTTATTTTCAATACCATGAAACATTAACTGTAAAGAAAAATATATTTATATAAGATTTTAAATGTTTTCGAGATAGATGATACATAGATAGATAATTCATTTACTCAAAATGCAACACAATTACATTATACAGAGAATAAAAAAAAAATAAAGATATATTAGAAAAAATATTAACTAGAATTAAGTCATATGCCTGTGTGTAGCAGAGAAAGGGTCTAGGCTCAGTGCATTAAAATCGCCGATTAGAGCATGTAAGTATGTAGTTATCGTTTAATTTTTATTCTTTTAAATAACAATTACCTTTCAACCACATCATCACTTTTCACAGACAACTTTTTTGAAGAACATTTAATGTTCATGCGTTATGTATTGTTTAATAGATAATTTTATATCCTTTTCTTGACCAAATGCTTAAAATTTTTTTTTATTGAGTTGAAATGTATTTTTGTGCAGATTTGATTTATAATGTTCTTTTAAATGTTTTTTTTTTTTATACAAAAATAGAAATTAAGCTGATTGGTTTTATTTAAAAGTACACTATCAAATAATTTTCAAGTATTAAAAGTAAAGTTGTTCTGAATTATGTAAATAATATGTGGTTAAATATTAGCACTGTTTAAAATTAGTACATGATACTTTAATTTAGAACTTAAATAACATCCATATCTTTATCGGCTGTAAATATCTCTTTGCATATTATAAGTATGGGAATTATGTGTTTTAATATTACTGTTTTTTTACAATTTTTATAATATATTATGTGAGAGTATTGGTCAATTTCTCGATGCATGACTGCTGATGGATGTGTGACGATGGTACAGTCAACAAGTACAGTCAACAGCATACCAGGTGTAACAAAACTTAAATTTCTCCAATCAATTTGAACCTTAAATGGTTTACTGTTAAAATCAAAATCGATTGCAGAAAATAATGTTTTGGTAACCTGATGTGTTGCTGTGTGTACATATAGTGTATGTATGTATCTATTATATGTCTTTTCGATAAATATTGCGTGTGATATCATGTTAACCGATATAGCGTTAACAGTTATCATTACTTACGTTAACTCAAAAGTTAATTTTATCGTTAACTCAAACTGCTGATTTTTATCAAATTATACTTATCTTAACATATTTTTGTATGTTCCACCTACGATTTTTTAACTCACCCAAAGACATATGCCTCATTATATATTCAATATATCTACTGATGTGATATCTACAGCTTTAAGAGGGTGCATAAATAAAATCATTAATATCAAAATAATTATAAACAGGAGAAATAAAAACGACATAATTTCATCTTAGTAACAAAAATTATTGCCTTAAAAAAAACTTTGTAATTAAATATATATATTTTTTTAAATATTCTAATAAATATTTTATGGACAAAAATACAACAAAACCTGAAATTCAATGATTTTATAATACTTGTGATGATTTTTGAGTAATAATATATTATTATTTAATGATTATAATAATGTCATGTCGCGATTTCTTTTGTCTTTATGCGCGCTCTTAATAATATATTTGTTATGTAGGCTAAAATATAGTCTAGTTGCCATTAAAAAGACAATAATGTTTGTCTGTATATTTAAAAATAAATTATTTATTTATGTGTAGAATGACTTGCCTGGAATATGCTTTTATTAAAATTAAAATATTGGGGAATATGTTTTTTACCGATTATTTATTGAACTGTGTTAAATATATGAAACCAATATTTTGATTGATGTTTTGTATTTAACGTTTTTTCTTTATCAGGTTTTTAATGGAGGTAAGGTGTTTATTGCTTGTTTACTGTAGTTTTTATGAAATTTTATCTATGGTCAAATATTTTTTGAAGTTCCGTTTTTGAAATTGTCTGGTTTCGTCTGTGGTACACCGGCGATTTTTATGATTGTAATAATTTAATGGTAAGAGGTTTGTAGGAGAGGTTAATATACACAAGTTTTCGACTTGTGAACGATTTAAATGTGTTATTATGCGACTATACTTTACTTGGCGTACAGATTGTATCGTTATATTCAAAAGTGATTAAATCTTGTATCGTTTTATGATTTGTCATTCGTTGATCATCTCTTGAATAAATTAACGTTGCAATAACATGATGTTAGTTGTCATGTCGTATGTGGTATTATATCGGGATGTAAACAACGTAAGTTTATAGATTAGATTATATATTTTTATATATAAATTAACATTAGAAAGCAAACAAATTGTTATTGTTTTTAGAGTTTGAAAATTTTCTGCTTTATTAATAATACATTTTTATTTAACTGTATTTTTTAATGACGTTCAAAAAACTGTCCAACAGTAGGTATTAGTTGTTTTATAGATTCATTATTTATTGGAGTAAAATCTGTTAATCTCGATGATCTTGTTAATTTTCAAATAAATAAAAAGAATCTTTAAACGTCAAATATAATTAAGAATATATCTATTAATCTGTAAAAAATTTGCCTCTTGTGTTTCAGAAGGCTTTTTCCAACTCGAATTGTCCATTTTGCAGTTTTGCAAACTGCTATATAATTTAATTTACAAAATTTGTTGCGTTTCCTGTTCTACCATTAAAACGTTTTGTGATACTTGATATCTGTGATATGCTAATAATATTGAGAATAAAAGGATGGTTAAAAAGAAAGCTCTTTCCTTTTTCCCAACGTCTCCTACGCGCGTATAAAAGAGGAGTAAATTAAGGTTTAAAACAGTGCATTTTATATAGACAAGTATATTAAAAAAATGGACTTCATAGTTGTGATAAAAATGTTTTCATAATCTTGCAAAAATATCGGACGCGAATTTGTTGCTTAAAAGTTCAAAAGGTTGTTTAGGAATAGGTTGGAAATAGAGGTGAGACAAAATTTATTATGGGAGGTATGTTCGGTATTGGTAACAAACACCTCGTACCAAAGTGACGATGCCAAGTATGTATTTTATATTTTACTTTTCTTATCCCGTTTTTGTATAGTAGTTGAGTTGTCGGTCACCTTTTCCAGTGGGCAACGGATCAAGACATAGCTAATGCTGTAGCCGACGTTGGAGTGACCGATTTCCAAGATGTGAAGTTCTTCGAGAATAGGGCGAATGGCCAGTCTAAAGGCTTCTGCGTCATATCGCTCGGTTCCGACCAGTCGATCCGTATGGTCTTGGATCGATTGCCGAAGAAGGAGATCCACGGGCAACATCCCGTTGTCACTTTGCCCACTAAACAGGTAATTATTATAAATAAGAATGTCATTCTGTACACAACTCGTGTGAAACGAGTCATGTACAGAATGACACTCCGTTTGCACGTTGGGTGAAATATGCAAAAGTTGGCATCGATCAATTTTTATTTTCGCTTAGAGTCGACAATGATGGTGTTTATGGATTTTGTTGACCCTGTAAACTATGACGTCATGATATCAGCGGAATTGCGTCATAGGCATGGTTGGGTGATAGAATCAATGTTGAGTACGTGCTACGAAATTATAATGGCTGATATTTAAATATGAATAGCAATAACAACTCACTTGCGAAAATTTTGAGAACTGCCTATCAGTATAGAAGTACTCGTGATCCTCGACCGACTCCTTAGATAATGAACTCAAACTCAAAAACTTGTGCATAGTTGGGTCGGGTTACCATCCATCCACATAAAGTTGTGCTGTTTGTTCTACATATGCAATTTTTATGTGTCGGCTTCACCAATTCTCGAGAATCTGAAATAAACACGACAAGAAGAATTTTATCATTAAATCAGGTTTACTTTAAGTTAACAAAATAAAAAAAGGGTGTATCAATGTATTTTTTTCTACTCCAAATCAAAAAGTATGTTGACAAGGCTTTCAATTATTAAGTTGAACTTATACACGAAAACAAAATTTTTATTTTTTACATAGTAACTTACCTAGTATTCACATAAAAAATAACCGCGTTTTTCTCTCAAGTGTCCTATGAAATATTACTAAACATAATTGAAAAAAGAAATTAATGCTAATGCATGAATGCACCTTTCATGTAATGATTTTTATCACACTACACACTAATATCAAAACATTTAATACTACCGTTTCTAAAAGAGCGGCCAGGACCAGTGATGGGAAATGCCCAGGCATTTAGGGAGTTTTTCCCGATAAGCTCCCATAAATTCCCGCCCAATTATTTATATTATTTGATGATATTTATTTGAAAATAAAACAAAAGATAAAGTGGTTGACTTAGTTGTGGTTTGTTATGAAATATAATATACATTACAAGCACTTATGTAGATGTATATTAATAAAAATACACAAATTTAAAGAAATTAAATAACTTTTTATTCTATGATTGATTCATCATCGCCTAGCATAATTAAAGTTACAATCTAACGGGTCAAATAGAGGCTTTTAAGTTCCTGCACAATATAACGAAAATTGTTATTGTAGTTTGCTGTGTAGTGTTTCTTCTTTATTCTTCATGTAGCCAAACAGAACAACCACTTATAAACTACTTTCTCTCTAATAAATAACAAAATCTTATATCATATTATATTAGATGGTATCTTAAGGGTATAATTTACACAATCGCTGAAAAAAATGTTGAAAAAAATAATTACATGTTTCTTATTTCTAAAACGTCGGATTTCCATTCAAACTTCCAATCCCTATTTCACCTATTAAGGGAAGAATTTCCACAATCACTAAAAACATATATATGAATCTTTAATCAGTTTTAACTTTCACGTTTCTAACTTCAATAATGACTGACTTCCAAACAAACTTGCAACACCTATTTCATCCCTCTAAGGGTAAAATTTTAGGAAATTTTACCCGCTACCGTTATCATTTAAGAACGGTGAAGTAGTTAATTCATTTTTAATTAGTAGGCTATAAAACAGTCTTTCATATAAACTTTCAACCCTTATTTCACCCCTTTTAAAGATTAATTTTTCAAAAATCCTCTCTTAGCGAGTATTAACTACATAAAATAACTACCGACTAAAGGTCATGGGTCCGACAACACTAATTATACGTATGCGTGGTCTTGTATTATACATAAAAACCTTCCTTTTGAATCACCCTGTCTATGAAAATAAAAACCGCTTCAAAATTCGTTGAGTTGTTTTAAAGATTTAAGCATACATAGAAATATAGGGACAGAGAAAGCGACTTTGTTTTATATTATGTAGTGATATATAATTTCTCAAAACAGTATAATTTTAATGCTCTCTGATCGAGCATTTATCGGGCAAATGAGATATATATTTTTCCCCATCTGCTCGCCGGGCGGAAACACTTTGCCCATCTCTAGCCGGGACAAATATGAATGATTTACGAGATGGCGGAGTTCCGACTATTGTATTGTTCAGAAACTAAGCAAGGTTTTGTAGAGATTTTTAAAATGGACTACTTCGTAGACTTTTTTTTATGCGATGTTAGCTTCACGATTTTTAACTTGGACGCTATAAACCTTTTTCTTGTTACCTATGTGTAAAGATAAATAGTCCTAATAAACTAAGCCCCCATTTTGGGTGGTCCCCCACATTGTATTTAGGATGAAGTAATTTTATCATTTATATTTTCAGTTCGTTTTTGTTTTGGCTGTACTAGTAGACAAAGTCAAATATTTGTAGTTTTGAATCGTTATCTTTTTTCCTACCATTAGTTCGATCAGATCGACTAGATGATCTAAGAAGTTAGTCTTTCGAGAGAAGGTTGGGAATTTGGCTGTTTGCTAAGGAGGATATTTTCGAAGATGTATTCTAGAGAAGTTAATCTAAATGAGAAATATACCGTTTGATAAGTAGAGCTTGGAGCGCAAAAATCACGTTTCTAAGTACAAATAAATAGGAATGCAATAAATATACACTTTTCTTGCTCGAAGGATTTTAAAATCTTTTTGTGGTTATCGCATCATATCGATACCCAACATACGGAAGATGTAACAAGCTTTAAAATTCTTAAGCAATAGTCGAGAGGCAGTCTCGGTGCCTCCAATTTGCATCTACAGATCGTATTCAAATGACGACATTGCTCATTAACTTCGTAGTGTACTCAAATTGAATTTACACAGCCAACATCATCCAACCACGCAGTCTTCGGAGCGTTTTTCATGTCTTGAACACGCGAGATAATGTGAAAACAGACGCGTTCTTTGTAACTGAGCTGCTCTTGCTGGGTGACCATTAATCGGCACTACCCGACAGCAAGTCAGGCAGGCATCGCCGTCGGCAGCAGCCTACAAAATTAACTCGCGAGGCAATCTGGTTTCCACATCGCGAGGTTGCCTCGCAATTGGATACACTGCTTGGTGTTTGATTCTTCACTAATATATCTTGTCTCTATTTACGATGCGATATAAATGGAAATGGAACGCATCTAAAATCAGTCGCAATGTGGTATTTGCCAAATTCCACTATGAACTGTATTAATTATATAGTGTTGCTATTCTTGTATTTAGTAAGTGTGCCCCGCAATGAATATATTGGCGCGCGTAATACATTAGTTCTAACTGTCACCATGGAAAGCACAGCAAATTAAACAATTTTTTTACTATGACATGAAAAGAAAAGTTAATTTAAAGAAAAAAAGGAAATAAAAAGGTTGAATTATGCTAAAACCAAAAAGCTTATTGTTGTTACTCTTTATTTAAGAAATTCAAAAGACTGAGCATTTTTGGTCGTTATGGCGAGTTTTTGTTATATGGAGAGAAGAGAAAAAAACTTACTAATTCCAATTATTTTTAATAGTGGCCACCAGCGACTTCGTCCGCGTTTTCCATTATTTCTTCGCTCCTAATAGTTGCAGCGTGATGTTATAAAGCCTAAAGCCTTCCTCGATAAATGGTCTATTAAACACAAAAATAATTTTTCAATTCGAACCAGTAGTTCCTGAGATTTGCGTGTTCAAACAAACAAACAACTCTTCAGCTTAATAATATTGGTATAGATTCATTCTGTTAACTTTGCCTGCCATGTATTGTATATCCTTTTTTAATGTCTGGGAGGTCTGAGAATAAATTCACACGTGTTAAAGCAATTAATAATTACCAAAAGCAAAACGGTTATTTGTGACCTCAGGTATCTTTCTTAGAAATTTCGGCACCTCAAAAGATAAGTTTTGTAAGGTTAATATAAAAGTAATTACACTATTTAATATGATGTTGCTATCTATATATGCACATATTTCTTCGTAATGGAACGCCCTTGCGTTACAAATAGTGGATTAATATATGACTTATGTTATAAACCAACTAAATAGAGCTTATTCCTACGTTATAGAACGTTTTTCGTTATAAAGAGTTTACACTGTAGTTACAAAATATTATGAAATAGTATTCAAACGATACCTGCCAATAATTTCTTTACGGTTATTTTATACAAAAACTAGAATGATATATTATTTTCACAGGCTTTAAATCAATTTGAGAGTCAGTCGAAGACTCGGTCTACTCCGCCAGGGCCGAATAACCCAGGCATGCGAGGGCCGCATCCAGGTGGGCCGCCGGGCCCGCATCCAGGAGGTAAAGATTTAATTATAATGATAATGAAGTATAATGACGCAATGGTTAGTGCATTAGGTCTGCCATGTGGAAAGCTTTGGTTTCCAACTATGTAGTTTAAACGTAAAAATCTGTTAACAAAAATCGTTCTATCAGAGTTCTTCGGCGGCGGTCCCAACGGTCCGGGTCCGAACGGTCCGCGCATGATGATGGCGGGTCCCCCGCACCATCAGATGCGTGGCCCTCCGCCTGGGCCCCATCATCTGCAGCACCAGGGCCCGCCCCCGCACCACATGCAGCACCAGGGTCCGCCCCCGCAGCACGGCCCGCCGCCGCACAGACCTCCTATGCAGGTATACATGAAATTAATTTCTAATTGTCAAAAAGTGTCCAAATGTTTCATTTTTATGTGTACATATTTTCAGTGTATAGTATTTGTATACTTTGTAGTTATGTTATCATATTTTGTTTTCTAAAAATAATAGTTTTGATTGATTATTATCAATAAAACCTACAATGATTACTTTTCTCCTGTAAATTTTGATGTAATAAATGAGTACTTGAAAAAAATACAAGTTATTAAGTTCCGTAAATAAAAATGCGATATACCTAGTTGTTGAATAGTTTAAATTTAAAGGTCTAAAGTTTTTAATGTGAAGCATTACTAGTCGTGTTTGATTCAAATTCGAGATATATAAAAAAAAATTGAGCTGAGTAGCCTATTCCTCTATAATTTCTCCCTAGTTCTGGCCATTGGGCTATATATGAATTGACGTAAGTAGGTCTTTAATAAGTAGCCAGTTCAAGATGGTAGTTGCTCGCATACACTATTGTGAACATAATGCACACAATAGTATGCATATGATGTAAAAATGTGACCAAGTGTTGTTTTTCTTTATACAAAGTTCCAAGGGCCACCTCAGATGCAAAGGCCTCCGGGTCCTCGTCCTGGGCCGGAGTGGGGACCGCGCGGGCCCCCTCACCATATGCAGCCGCAGCCCGCCCCTCAGTATGGCCCGCCGCAACATCAAATGCCGCCGCAGCATTTACCGCCCCAACATGCGGTGAGTAGCAGTAAAATTTCCTTTGTATTATGAATCAGTATAAGTAAAGTAATAATATAAATATAACTTCTGAGGTCATCGTTACATTGATATTGATTCTTACATTTTTCATAGCCCCCTGGACAAGGTATGCCGCCACCACATCACCAGATGCCGCCTCATCAACAGGGGCCACCCCGTGGACCTGGCCCGATGCCACAGCACCCAGGTACTAAATATACTTTCTCTGTGTGCGCTACTCATTCAACTTGTCTAAAATTAATGACTATCATACTAATTATAAATGAATGATCTGAAAATGATAATTTAAATATATTAGCATGTATTAAACAACGAATATTGATCTCTAGAGTTCCTCTATTAAATATTTATTATGTTTAGTAGTCCTCTACTATAATTCCTATAAAGGAAAGAATGAAGACAAGTTTTTTTTGCATATACATAGCACGGTTGGCGTACAAAACGAATTTCGGTTGTTGACCTTTGTGCCTAATGATAGGAATCGTAAACATTTTACGTTAAACACTATACGGTGACAAAATGCAATTGTGCGAGCGCAATAGCAAAACAGTTGCACACGAGTGAAAGATAGGCATGTAATGCCAGGTCAATGTACGAAATTCCCTCTGTTGGGGGACCGTGCTACAATCCGCAAATTGCTAATGCGCAATGCGCCTGGCCGCCATATTGGTGATGTAATCATTTGACAGTTGTGTCAGTACCGTTAGCAAATAAACACTGGCTGACGACAACGCGTATTGCGTTGTGTTGGGTTGTCGTTTTGCTTTTATTTTTCGTCTGTTCTAGGAACATACTAGTATAAATAAATGTTCCAGGAACTTTTGTGTCAGGTTTTATAATGTTTGGTATTATTTATATAGGCGTGGGTGGTGCTCCGGCTCCGCATGTGAATCCAGCCTTCTTCAACCAACAACCTCCCGTACAACCCGCCCCTGGTGTACAGCCGCCCCCACAACAGGGACCACCTGGTTAGTTATTCATATATATACAGAAACAATCAAAAGAATGTAATCATTGCACATATTTTAATAATTTGTGGTAAATCACTTTCTTTTTCTCTTCTTTTTTTTAATATACTAACATCGGTTAAAAAGAAGATAAAATATGTAGGTTTTGATGTATATTGTGTTTTGTTTATGTGCTCAGTTTTTTCTGTTTAGGTAGAGATATTGTTTTGATTGAATTTCTTTTTGTTGATTAGTACCAGGTCCCGGAGCCCCTTATGGTCATCCAGCACACGGAGCCCCGCCGCCGACTCAGGGCCCGCCCCCCGGCGCCAGGCAACCTTACGGGAGACCTCCACAGGTCAGTGTTTACATGTCACTCTGTCACAGAAGTCTGAACATAGCATTGTATTTTTATTTTATTTATTTTTATTTTATATGAATGGTCTGTTAGCCTTACAGATTACTATTCGGAATGGGTTTCAGTCCTATTCTGGATCGTACTATAAATACAAAGATGTTTTGTACGGGTATTATATAAGTTAGAAATCGAAGCACCGGTAAATGTTGTTATATATAGCATGATGCTGAAAAATACTTTTTATTTTATTTTATTGGAACATAAAACAGCCAGAGGTCAATACAAATATATACAAGTAGCTAAAATATTATAACAATATTTTTTCAAACATTAAACTATACAAGACTGATGTTGTAAAATTCATTTTACAACAGAAGTGAAATGAATCAAGTTTTAAAGATGCATAGAGAAATGCATAATATTTAAAAAAATACATACATATATCAATATTTAGGCATATATTATACATATATATTTATATTATGTTAATTCATTTACATATACTCTTATTCACACACACACATATATTCGCACTCATATGTATACTTAATTAAGTTCTTGGTTTTCGTTTGGTTAGGTGAAGATAGAAAGGTCAACTTTATTTATTTGCAGAGTTATCCGCCGGCGGCTGAGGCGGCCCGCGTACCGCATCACCCCGCACCGCTCTCGCACCCCGCACATCCCGCACACGCCGCCCATCCCGCACACGGCGCCCACCCCGCCATCCCCGCCATCAGTGAGGCAGAGTTTGAGGAGGTGATGAGCAGGAACAGGACTGTCTCCTCCAGCGCGATAGCACGAGCCGTCAGCGATGCCGCCGCTGGCGAGTACGCCTCTGCTATAGAGACCCTCGTTACTGCTATATCGCTCATCAAACAGAGCAAGGTATGCTTATATATTAATATATATGAAAAATGAAAATATTCTTGTCATTATCAAGTGCATATGCTTTTTGTTTCTGAAATACAAATAAAACTTGTCGAACATTCTTTACGTAAAATACATTCCAAATGTTTAATATGTCTATGAAACTATGTCATCGAAAAAGTTGAAGAAAAAAAATTACTTTTTTATACTATGACATAATTAATTACCACTTATAATGGTGGCATCATTATCAGATTACTGTCAGATATCAAATTTGTGCGATCAACTTTAAACTCTATTTCTAACGCATTGATGTAGAAAGATTTGAAAGTGTTGATTTGAGACAACTAAAATGTGCTGTTGATTATCTATACTAATATTATAAAGCTGAAAAATTTGTTTGTTTGCTTGTTTGAACGCGCTAATCTCAGGAACTATTGGTTCGAATTGAAAAAAATATTTTTGTGTTGAATTAGACCATTTATCGAGGAAGGCGTTTATCGATATATAACATCACGCTACAACTATTAGGAGCGAAGAAATAATGGAAAACTCGGACGAAGTCGCTGGCGGCCACTAGTAAACCATATTTGGTGTAATAATTAAAATGTGGATTCATTACATTTATTATGTGCAACTTCTTTAGGGAGAAACGAACTCATCATGTTGCAGTGTCAGAGGATAGTAATTTATTATTATAATTCACCGCATATGGAATGGACATTTGTTAAAATAACGTGTGCGTTGTCCAGGTGGCCCACGACGATCGGTGCAAGATACTGATATCGTCCCTGCAGGACACGCTGCACGGCGTGGAGACCAAGTCGTACAGCGGCGGCGACCGGTCGCGCCGGTCGAGGTCGCGCGAGCGTGACGCGCGCGGCCACCACCGCGCGCCGCGCCGCCGCGACCGCTCCGCCAGCCGATACCGCGACCGCAGCCGCGACCGCGAGGACCGCGACAGGTATGTACACGTACACACCTAACTCTACATATACCAGGGTTTGCAAAAATCCGATATTTATACTAAACTAGCTTTAGCCCGCCACTACGTCCGCGTGGTTATGTTACTTTGAGCAGCATTTCTAACGAATATTTATTCATTATGTCGTGTAAAATACCTGAAATTAAGTTTCATCCCCTAATTTATTCCCTTGGGGGTAGGTTTTATCAAAATCCTTTCTTAGGGGATGCCTACGTCATATGAGCTTTTAGCATGTAAAGCCGATCGGTTCAAAATTGACAAAACTTCATACAAACTTTCATCCCCTATTCTATCCTCTTGGGGGTAGAATTGATCAAAATCTTTTCTTAGTGGATACCTACGTCATAACATTACCTGCATGCCAAATTTCAGCCCGATCCGTCCAGTGGTTTGAGCTGTGTGTTAATAGATTACTATGTCAGTCAGTCGCCTTTGAGATATATAAATTTAGATATCCGATATTTTTAAGCTCCTAATGGTTTTATTTAATATTTGATCTTTACACCAATAGTGTAAAATAAATTTAAAAAGTTTAAAAAAGCTAGTAGTTCGCACTTCGCCTTCATATTACGGGGAAAGCCCGAAATTTCCAGTAACTATGATTGCTTCGGGAAGATTACGGGCCAATTTAGCTTAATAATTTATCAAGATTTAAATAAATTGTAATAGATAAATACGAACATGAAAAATTGTTTGTTAAGTCATTTTTGCGCTGATAGCCTCATATATATAGGAAGTGTCCATTTTAACATCGGTGTAAAAGCAGTGTATAACCATACTGCATACTGTTTAGCAGGAAGCCTGCGTTACTGTGTAGGTGGTAAGTATCATCCTACACTACGATACATCAGACTCTCGTGTATCATCTATGTAATCTCTTCGTTTACATACTGTATATTGTTAGAGTAAGGTATCGTATGTAAGTGTCTGTAAGAGTTTTATGAATAAAACTATATAACAGCTCTTGGCACCTTTCGCCGGACATTAAAGTTATAAACTTTCCTCATGAATCACTTGTAGAATTGTATGTTCAGGAAAGCTGATTAAAATCCGTTGTATAGTTTAAAAGATTTGTACTGTGTATAGAAGACATTATGTTTCTTAGTTACACATTCACCACTTTAGATCTACACAATCAGTATCTAAGTAGAAATAATTTGTGTTTTAATTTTCAAATGGGACATATGAATGCGGCTTCTCACTGAAAATCATGTCTTGTCACAGTTCCTAAGCACAGATTTTCATATGTCTAATACTTCCCTATACTGGTCGCTATAAATGTTACTGACTGTAACATCTATCATGTTAATATTAAAAAAAAATACAGAACACCAAAAATGACATGATAACCTATGGTTCTTGCTGATTATAATGCCATTACTGTTGCACTATTCTCTAAACTGATACATAATTCATTTTTATTCAGGTAAGTTTAAACACTTATTCCACTCGTTTTAAATATCATATGTCGACTTATGTTATTTTAGTTAGAAATACAGATTGATTGCAGTCTGATAAAATTTATGCAACAGAATTGCTGACAATGTAGCTTTGTAATATTCAATGAAAAATTGTAATAAACAATTTTGTTTTAGTCTAATGTCAAAACGATCTCAAACTTATAATGACGCAGAAGTTACTTTATTTCGTTGTATCATATCATACCACGCCGTGAAAACCTGCATCGTATTAAGATGTTACAAAATTGATAATTTTATGAGTGAGTTATATCTGACTCGAGTAATTTATCTTCATTATAGTTGAACTGATTGGCTGATAATTCGTAACGGAAAATATAAATAAACTTTCGCATAAATCGCGGTCGCGACGATTTCCTTTTTTCTTATTTCATGTATTATTGTTTCCTTGCCTTTCGACCTTGTTAGAATAATAAGTACTGGCTTCAACATAACGTTTTTTGTTGTCAGGTACAGGGAAAGGTCAAGGGAACGCGATCGTGAACGTGACCGCGATGCGTAAGTGCATTTAATAAATCAATGTTAGATTATTATATCACTTACATTGCTCGAATCTCAAGTAGCTAAAGCCCTCGTGTTACAGAAATCTGAACCAACGAAGTTACAACCAACCGGACAGAGAAAATAGTTTTATTTTTAATTAACAGGCCGGGAATCGGATTCGGGATTTTAACTTAAAAACGGTGGTGTTATTTCGTTTGCGTTCAATTTCTTATAATATATGCATGTGGAAATTTGATAATGTTAGTTATTTTTAAAGTCTTAGGATTAAAAGAAAATTCGGTTTTCTTTTAGCTTAATTGTGAGGTATGTAGATGTTTTTTTGTGAATTGATATATAGTTTGCGATTATATCAATAGGGGATTTATCGATTTACTGTCTGTTTTTTCTTTAATAATAATTGATTGTGAATGTGTTTTGGCTCTTGCACGTTTATCTCGGATATTGTAGTATGTAGAATAATAAATAATGGTAGTACATCACATCTGCGTAAAAATAAATACACTTTAATCTATAATACTACGGAATTATCATAGAATTTAACTGTTAAAATCAAATAATTCAAGAGTTCAACTACCCTTATCTATAGTATTTAATTCCCTATTTTGTAAAATGATTAATTATGAAATTTATGATTGATGTTAGTTAGATTGATTTTTGTTTTGTTTTATGATCTTAGGTATTATAGAGACTACCGTGAGAGGGAACGCGACAGATCCAGGTCTAGGGACCGGGAACGTGCAGATCACTACAACCGAGGTCACAGCAGAGAGGAGAGGTAAAAATATATCTCAATGCCATATAGAAATCTATTGATGGTATGTTTGTAATATAAGAAATATGTATAACATCTGCGCTGACAGGTTATGAGTGACTCTTCAAGAAACATTGACCGACTGTCCACAGACCATAATAGATGGAATCGAATAGGAACAACGAGCCACAACCACTGAGTTGTTTAGTATAGAGCTAGCTAACAGAGTACGTAAGAAAATATGATGAGTTTCACGGTGTGTCAAATGTTGGTTGTCTCTGGTTTTCGTTTTACTTTATCTGTAAAACTTCTATGGTCTTCAATTTGTTTTTTTCTAATTCATCGTAGGCCAAGAAAATCTCCCGTGGAGCCAGCGGCAGACAGCGGCGCGGGTGATGCGCCCAGCACTAAGAGTCGCACGGCCGCCGCTCCCTACTATGACGAGCGTTACCGCGAGAGACGCGACCGCGACCCGCCGCCCGCTGACCGTGACCGCGATCGCGAGCGCGACCACCGCCGTGACCCGAGACACTAACCCTCTGATCAGGACTCGCTTGCTAACAGAAAAATACAAAAATACACAATCCACACGTTGTACTATATTAAATACCATAAGTTTTTAATTATACGTTGAACGTATAACTGTTACAAACATGGAATAGATATGAAAGTTTGGAACTGGATGATTGCATTCTGGAAGTCTGAAACAAAGATACATATCTCTTTCTCCTCATAGATTTGCTTTTTACATTTTAGCTTTTCCCATTTCTGAATAGTCTGTCCGAACATATTGAGAACAAACACAAAGCAGAATACAATAAGCTCCAATTAAAATGATGCTAGTTAAATCTTTATATTCTTAAAGCAGATTTACCAATTTCAATGTTTACCAAATGTAAGATAAAAATTAAAACAAGTCTTGTTAAAAACAAACGATACATATGGACTTAAATATTTATAGTAAGTGTTATTGTCACTTCAACTAGAGTTTAAATAATGGCACAGGAATCTACAATTTGCGTCTCTGCTTGTAAACATGGTTTCTTTACGTATGTAATTACGTGGTCATATTAAAGAAGGGCTGCCGGATCGTATGGGATACAAAATCTGTATAGTTTGTTATTGTAACTCTATTTAAATAATTCGCTACCGATGTGTGTGTGCTGAGATCTAACTATTTCATGGATTTTAATGCCGCTGGCGGAAATATAGTTCGGTATAAATTGAACTTCATTTTTTTGACATTGCGTTCAGTAAATGTACGTTGGATAACAACTACTATACACTTACGTACATATTTTTATTTCTTCCATTGATTCAAATTTAAATCTTCATAATTGTAAATATTACACATTATATCTTTGAAGATAAATTCATAGATAGATGGGTAGAAAGTTGTAAATCTTTTCTTTGAGACACGAATAGTTAAAACGAAATAGAAATAAATAAGTTGCTTTGTTTTATGTAAGGTAAATATTTAATTACTAACAATAGTATTAATAAATTGTATATGTAGTAAGAATGTGTTTTGTATAATTTGAGATCCCTAGTTGTATAAACTAATTTTAGTCTACTGGCAGCCCCAATTAAAGTGGCTGAACATGATCTAATAAAAACTAAAAGCGAAGACAGTTCCAACCTTTTATCTATTTTACGTTCGCGACGTACGATTGTCTTAAATCTTGCGTTATTCACTACTAAACTCTAATTTCATTATATTTATTTGGAACATCTTCACACTTAGTGATCACACGACAATAACCTAACTCACATCTAGTGAAATACTACAGTTAGAAAATTCAATTATGTAGTAATGATATAGATAATTTGTTGCTATCTCGGATATGAAACTGGAAGCGGTTCATAAAAGGTTAATTTATCATTATTTTTATATAAAGGTACATATTTTATATGCGCTAAGAACAATTTGATAATGTATAATTGAACTTTTTGCTATTATTCGGCCATCTCGAGTTTCTTCAGATATTTCTAAGAGGACAACAAAGGTTCTTCAGTCATTTTTTTGAGATATATATATATATAATATTATGTATATACTCCACAAGGAGGCAGAGTAGATTATTTTGTAATATTCATAAATAGATTGTGTTTTAATATCTAATACCAAAGTGTATGCGTTTGTTTTGTACTTCTTAATTAGAGTTTTCAATATTACCATCATATTGCAGTGCTTACAAAAATTTAACTAACAATATAAGTTATGAACTATTGTAAATTCGGAAGTGACATTCCAATATTAACCCAGATTATGTTCTCAATGCAGATTTTGTTAAAATGGATTTGATAGTTGTCCTGGTTTCTTGTTTAACTTTTATCCATTAAGGAAGTTCTAGTTATATATTAAAGTCACGTAGGTTAAGTTTCCTCGTATGGTTTATCATACAAATTTAAAACGACTTTTGATTTAGGATTAATTGAATAAATTGACGTAACAAAATAAAGTTGTTTTTATTTCATTACAATATATATCATAATATGATAAAATAATCTTTTATTATTTATTATATAATATATTACTGGTACCTCATTATAATTACCGCCTGGTTCAGGATTGGAGAGGCTGGTTTTCTGTCATGCCGATCTACTAGTACACACACCAGTCTCTCGCATAGATTATAAAATTGTTTTACTTAGTTTTTAAAGTATTTTTATATTGTGGTGTCTGTGTGTGTATAATAATAATAATAAAGTATTATAATTATAGCTATGCCACGAAACGTTCATACCATTTCAAGGTTGAGTGGGCGCTTTTGAAGTGAACTCTGGCAGCTGAGTGAATTCGAATTCGGGTTCGGAATTTTACGGAATCGCTCTGCAATATTGTTTTCATAACCATTGCACTAATGACCTCACTGTTGTGTGGATCGCAAGATTACAAGCATTACAATCATTCCGATTGGACGACGACCTTGTGCCTACTGATGATATTGTAGACATAGTTTCAATTTACAAAATTTAATTTATAGGAATGCTTTTCCAAAAGATCCCGTTGCCAAAAAAGTTAGAGAACAGCTAATCCAGGACGTCATACTGGCGATAAATGGCTAAATTAAATGGGTACGTTCGAAACGTGATTGATAATTATTTCTCTGTAATACATGTGGGTATTGTTCCTCCCACGTAGGGCTTACAATGGCTTACAATACACAAACTTCTATTAAGGTTTGATGACGCCTTTATTCTCTAATGAATGTCAAACAGCCGGTTGCACAAACGTCCATTAAATTTTGGTTTAATTTAAACTAGCGACATTACCCCATGCAAATTTGTTATTAACAAACATGACCGTTCTAAAAGTTGTATGGTAAAAGCTTTAATCAAATCTAAACTTTAATGGACGTTTGTGCAACGGGCTGTCAGTCTATTATACATTTTAACAGGTATAAATTTGTCTTAAATTTCGTCTCTATTTCACATTATCACTTAAGCTACTTTTTAGATAAAAAATAAATTAAGACAAGTTGTGTAATTCGGAAGTACTCGTAGTTTCGATAATAACGTATTAAGGTACCTATCGGAAAACAAATGGTTCTTCATGATCAAAACACTTAAAATGCTGCTTTGCTGCTCTATACTAGTATTCGTTTACAGTGATATAGAGACAGTATAGATAAGAGTTGTCCTATTATTATAGAAAGATCGCCACTGTTATGATCCTTAGTGGTTGATCAATTGTTATTACAAGCCTCTGAAAAAGGCCTAGATATACAACGCTACGCGGAGGACGTGGTAGCTTGCACTGCAAACTAAACAGTCTCCTATTTAACATTAAACTAAGTGACACTGACGTTTGCAGATATTGCCAACAAAAACGTGAAAACCCAAAACATCTCCTGTGTGAGTGTGGACCACTGATCCACAAACGAAGCATACATCTGAGACGACATATAATCAGCCTAGAAGATATAAAGTCCCTAAAACCCAGGAATATTATAGACATTTTGAAGTCTACCGGGCTAAAGGAGTTACTATAGCTCTGGCGGCGAGTCACAATAGGCCTTCCAAGTCGCGGTGACTACAGTTCCTCAGGGAACTGCATAGTCCAGTAATAATATGAACGGGCTGGCCTTGCATTAAATGATAGAAAACCTACGAGGAGGAAATAAAGATTTTATTTCATGCATTGCGTTCTCCGCTATATTTTATTCAGAATAACATAGCAAAGAAGAATCATAAAAATGTTGAAGTTAATGAGCAGAGATTTGCGTACGAACAGCGCGGTGGAATGAGAACGTTCTTTTAACGTTCGACGTGCCTATACACGAGAACAATACGTTCCTGATTGAAAAGCAACACCATTTTTTAATCAAGAGCGATTTCAAATATTGGTTTGTAGAATGAGCTTTTGTTCTTTCCAATAAATCATTGATCTAAAAAACAGGCAAGGATGAGTTGGACTCGCGCACGAAGGCATCCGTACTATTATCTATTAAGAGTCAAAAAAAGTAGTCAACATATACAGTTCCAAGCAAAATGACGACATATATTTTTTTAAAATTTAATTATAAATACAATATACTGTTTATATAAGTTGGTTTACTTGCACCATGAAAACCACTAAGGTTTGTATAATATACCTAAGATTACTTTCGAAGATTAAAATATGTTTTTATATAATAATTACTATTTATTTTAGTTACTTCAATTACATATATAAATTAGTAAGATTCAAATTTAATACATTTTTGACAATTAATCAAACAATCGTCGATTATCGTACTATTTTGAGATTATTTTTCGATTCGTATTTAATGTTTTTTTTTATTCCACAAGTTTATCTCTAAGATCGCTCGGTAGTTTATTTATCAAGCGAGGTAGAATGAAGTAAATAGTTATCTCACTTCAATAAAAGAACTATTTTTTCAAAGAAAAACATTTGTATGTATAGCAGACCACACAGCACCCTCGGATCAAGTGGACGAAGCCGTTGTTTACTACAGCTAGTAAAAGATAAAGAAACTTTGAAAATAATAGTTTATTTCATGTTACAAAGCAAAGACAACTACTAGACGAGTTGTTCTTCTTCTCTTATCTGCGAATTTCGCACAATTCTGCTAACGTCAAGTAAATAAATTAATTTCTACATGTAAAATGAAAATGAAATGAATGAAAGATGGCGATGGATCTCAGACGAGTTGTTATTACTAAGTAAGCTATACTTATGTCACACTACAGAGTTTTGTCAAGCGGTATTTAAAATTGCAAGAATCGAATAGGGAGAATTGCCTATTACTCACCACGCGAGACCATTGAAGATTGGTAAGCGTTAGCGACGATGAAGCCGGGACTTACCGTCCTTTCCGAAAGACGGGGGAGCTCGAGACAATAAGTTTTTGATAACCATTCTATGTATATAATAGTATCAGTCTCAATAATATCAGTGTATTTAATCAGTCGTTACTTTGCGGAAGTCCACTGTTATAAGCGTGAAACTATGATTTATAGCAACCTTAACACCTTTTATAGAACCATGTGAAGTCCTATATCCAAGTTTATTTCTTTATTTATTTTATTGCATTCCACAATGTAGTATTAAGATGTTC